GAACAACACATCCTAAAACAAATATACTGAGAAACAACCCATCCTACAACAAATATACAGAGAAGGAACATATCCTATAACAAATGAACACATCCTACAACAAATTAATACATCCTACAACAAATATACAGAGGAAGAACACATCCTACAACAAACATACAGAGGAACAACACATCCTAAAACAAATAAACACATCCTACAACAAATATTCAGAGAAGGAACATATCCTAAAACAATACAACAAATATATGCATGAACAACACAGCCTACAACAAGCATACAGAGGAACAACACATCCTAAAACAAATATACTGAGGAACAACCTACAACAAATTAACACATCCCACAACAAATATACAGAGGAAGAACACATCCTACAACAAATATACTGAGGAACAACACATCCTACAACAAATATACAGAGGAAGAACACATCCTACAAAAATATACTGAGGAACAACACATCCTACAACAAATAAACACATCCTACAACAAATATACAGATCAAGGGCACTTCCTACCACATATGCACAGAGAAAGAACAATTCCTACAACAAATATACTGAGGAACAACATATCCTACAACAAATATACTAAGAAACAACACATCCTACAACAAATATGCTGAGGAACGACACATCCTACAACAAATATACTGAGGAACAACACATCCTACAACAAATATACAGAGAAGGAACATATCCTATAACAAATGAACACATCCTACAACAAATATACAGAGAAGGAACATATCCTATAACAAATGAACACATCCTACAACAAATATACAGAGGAAGAACACATCCTACAACAAATATACTGAGGAACAACACATCCTACAACAAATATACAGAGGAAGAACACATCCTACTACAAATAAACAGAGGAAGAACACATCCTACAACAAATATCCTGAGGAAAAACACATCCTACAACAAATATACAGATCAAGGGCACTGCCTTCAACATATGTACAGAGGAAGAACACATCCTACAACAAATGAACACACCCTACAATGAAGACATAGGAGGAACACATCCTACAACAAATGAACACACCCTATAATGAAGACATAGGAAGAACACATCCTACAACAAATATACAGAGGAAGAACACATTTTACAACAAATGAACAAATTCTACAACTAAACACATCCTTTTTTTGCACAAAGAAGACACAAACAATAGATTGCACAATTTATTGCCTGGCATATTTTTGCTGAATCTCGTCAGGTGCATACTACAGTAACAGTTACATAAATGAAGCAGATAAGTGAATCCTTTGCAAGTGAACTACAAATTCAACAACAATCAAACATGACTGCCTGTTTTACCAGGGCAGCCATAAAGTAAAAACCATATCTTTCTGTAAACAGAGTTCCGGGTGCAAATGACAAATCAAGGAAGCTTCAAGAAATCTTAGTGTTCTGCCATTGGTTGATGTATGAAAGATTTAAAATGCGTTGCCCCTAGTTACGTGTCAAGATTTTAGAAGATGCCATGCTTTTGCGGAGGGGTGATCTTTGCAGCCAGTATTCTTATGTATAAGGCAATAAATCGTGCAATCTTTTGTTTTTGTCTTCTCTGTTGAAATTTACAACCGGGAAACATTGCTTTGACATCCTTTTGTTGTTCGTCCATCATGAGTGATGAAGATCACTTTTCATGCAAAGTAGTAATGATCAATGATTATGAGTATGAAGGTGGCTGCTTAGTCTAATATGAGCCCAGAAGGTTCTTGAGCAGTGCAGACAACAGGTGGAAGCCGCAGTAAGTGTGAATTAGCAATATGGTTCTTTCTAGTCTGCCTCCGTTTCTTGAACTGTGCAACCTCCGCTGCCTGGCATGCCTGAGGGATGTACGCCATCCAGAACGATCCTGTGCAGCAGTCTTCTATGTCACTGTGTTGATGCTAAAGGAATTTAGAACAGTTTTGAGAGTGTCTTTATAGCGCTTTTTCTGTCCTCTCTCAGACTTCTTCTCTCTTTGGCAGGTGACAGTCTAGCATGTGAGCTAGGTGACCAGAACAAACAATCCGATAATTCTTCAGTATCGTGTGATGCTAGGCAGGTTTGAACTATCAAGAAAAACAGTATTTGGGATCTTATCTTGAGTGCATGCATCTTTCCTGTAGCAACATACAAATGTGAGTCGTGGACTATCTCCCAGTCCTTAAGAAAGAGAATAGGGGCTTTTGAGCTGAAATGCTATAGAAAGATTTTCAAAATATCTTGGACAAAGAAGAGGGGAAATACTAATATCGTGAAATATCTGAACATCAAGGAAGATTGGCTTATAAACAGCATCCTGTCTCAGAAGCTGAAATATTTTGATCATATCAAGCGCCACGACGAATTGGAAAAAATTATAGCAGAAGGCATGGTACCAGGAAGCCAGGAAGGAGGGGCAGGGGCCGACCAACACGAAGATGGGCACAGGATATAAGTGACTCTTGAGAATGAAAGTACATGAGGCGGGAGAGCTGGCGGGAGACTGAGTTTCTTTCAGGCAGACCGTGATGAGAGTGACGTTCTGCAAAAGACCTGATACATGATGATGATGATCTTGCTATTTGATTTTGAGCAGCTTTCTGAGACAATTTATATAAAACTGACTCAACTTTTTAATACAGCGCTGATACACATATCATGTTTCGCAAGCTTAGAGCAGTACTAGAAGAATTACAGCTTTGTAGAACTTTGGCTTGGTCAGCAGGGAGATACAACTTTTGTTCCAGACACTGGTATAAAGTCTGCCGAAATTGCTACTCGCTTTTGAGATTCTAGCTTTGATTTCATTGTCGATGTTGACTGTATGAGATAGGGTACTGCCAAGATAAGTGAATCTATCGACTACATTGAGCTTTTGATCATTTATGGGGTATCAGATACTAGTAGCACCTCTGGAAAGGTGACCGTTATGTCCTTCTTAGGGCAGTTTTACCAACACTGGGCTAGGTCTGGCACTCAGCTCTCTCCTGTGGCTCCCAGTAGCTGTCAGCATGTTACAGCGGCCACCCCCGGGAAGCAGCTTTGACGGGCTGGCTAAACCAGGAGAGGGTAGCTGACCTGGTTCTAAACCACTCAGTGATTGGGATATGCCTATCCTGCATGCAAAAACTGGATTGTGCAGATGAAACCTCTTTTTGGTTCAACTGACAAGAAGGCAATTACCAGCAGAATCTGTGTAGAGCTTCGAGCAAGGCAGGGCACTTAAGATGCCTTGGTCATCCGCTGCACCTAGGTCCATTTCCAATTGTCTCGACATTGTCCTGCCATTGGATCAAGATGGACACAGGCAAAAGAGTGAGGTTGACGAATTGTGCAACGTTTCCTCACTTAAATCAAAGTCCTTGCGCAAGTCACTTTCATCCAATTATCATCCTCATCAATCTTTTTCAAGTCCTGTGGTGATGGGCGAGCGAGGAAGTGGCAGACCTGGGTTACGTTGGCAGCCTGAGCCGCCAAACAGTGGCATCTTTTTCATTATATCATAGAGAAAGAGGACCACAGACAGGACGTACAGGTAGTCTATGTGCAGCGCTGAATGTTGCACAGACCATCCTCTCCTCGCTTCAAAATAAACATCGACATTCAACCACCAAGATGACCACAGGGAAGCAAGACTTACAAAAAGCTCAACAAATCCAGGCTGAGAAATGAATCCAAGAAAGTTTACTTTGTATCCACAATGGAAGATCATCTACAATCCATCTCCTTCGACTGTTCAAATATGGAGGACACATGGACCACCCTGAGAGATCTGATCTAAAGCACAGCTTTAAAGACACTAGGACCAGTTATGAGGAAACACCAGGACTGGTTTGACGGGAACTCAGAAGATATTCAGCATCTACTAATGGAGAAACACTGCCTCTATAAAGCTTTGTTAAGTGATCCAAATTCAATATCAAAGGACTCCTTCAGTAATATTAGAAGAACTGTTCAAACCAAACTTTGCCAGAGCAGTAAAGCTAAGAAGATTCAGTGTATTTGTAGACAGGCATTGTATGACAAATTTCTATGATGCTTTAAAAACTGTATATGGACCTATCATCCTGTCCCCTTCTTAGCAATGATGGACCTACACTACTCAATGATAATGATGCAATCCTCAAACATTGGACTGAACACTCCAATAACATCCTGAACCTACAGTCATCCGTAAACGAAGAAGCTATACAAGGTTTTCCCCAGGTCCCTATGAATGCAGCCCTAGATAAAAAAAACAACTCTTCTGGAGACCAAGAAAGCCACTGATCAGCTGTCTAGTGGTAAAGCTCCTGTTCTTGATGCGATACCCGCAGAAAGTTTTCAATGAAGGTGGTAATGTCCTCATTGAGAAATTACACAAAATATTTCAACTTATTTGGCAGTAAGAAATACTTCAACAAGACTTTAAAGATGCAACAATCAGTTACTTGTATAAACATAAAGGAAACCCCCAGGTATATGACAATCACCGTGGAATCTTTCGTCTGTCTACTTCTGGTAAAAATCTCGCTAGAATTCTCCTAAACCGTTTAGAGTGCATCTTGAACAAGACCTTCTGCCTGAGAGTCAGTGTGGCTTCCGAACAAGGCCAGGGACCATTGACATGATTTTTGCTGCTCGCTACCTCTAGGAAAAGTGTCAAGAACAAAACTGCAACCTCTATTCTACCTTCATAGACCACACAAAGGCCTTTGATACGGTCAATAGAGGAGGACTGTGGAAAATCATTGCTCATTTGGCAAACATATCCTACAACAAATGAACACATTCTACAAAAAATATACAGGGGAATAATACTTCCTACAACAAATATACATAATAAGAAGGCATCCTATAACAAATCTTACTTAAAGAAATATTTTAAGGAAGAGCACATTCTACAACAAACAAAAGGAATAGATTACATCCTAAAACACATATGAAGAAGGAAGAAAACATCATACATTGAATATGCAAAGGAAGAACACATTCTAGTTCAACAAATTTAAATTATCCCAAGTGCTCACCCTGATCTGGTAACAAATCATTTGCTAGTTCTTGATTCTTCAGATCAACATCAATATCATGATGTACTTCAATATTATCAACCTGGTGATTTTTGTTTCCAACGTCTTCAAGTACTTTCTGAGGTAGGGAAGTTACTGGGATACAATTGACAAAGTCACTCAGAAGACTGATACTGCATATCAATAAATACCACATTCTTTCTTTTAATGTTCAATATTGCTCTTATATCACTAGAAAAGAACAAAATAATATATTACAGTATGTTGAAGTATATAATCAATTTTTGCATTCAAATAATAATTCAATTTGGCAAACTCTCAAGTGACATAAAAAACATCAATCAGTACACCCAAATCTGTTGTATTTAGACAGTGCAGTAATAAGTTTGCTATTTTAGTGTATGTCTAAGGTTTCTCATGTTTGGTCTGCAGTAATTTGTGACTCAAATACCTATTTCTGTAACAATGTGCATTCCATCCCTAATGATTTGTCAAAGATAGTCAAAGTGAAATTTCTTACATTTTACAAACAGAGTAAGCTGAAATTTTTTAATGTGACTCTCAATAACTGACTATTCCCACACATACACACATATTAAATTAGAGCCATTACATTTACAGCCATGTATTACTAACACTCTTAATCTCTCCAGTTATCACAATCTTCTCAAGGTCATCTCATCTTATAATGTGACCAAGAAATCGTGACTGCCCTGTATCATTATGGGTAATCGGTTCTCTGTCTTATACCTATGCACATGACATAGCAGACAAGACTAAAGCACTGATATTGTAATTAATTATACTAGAGGCAACATTGCAAATACAGATAACCTATTACAAGCGAACGAAAGAAGAAGAAGTAATTAATTAATGAATAAACACTTAACTGAAATAATATTATTGTTGAGTATTTATTACCTAGTTACAGTAATATTTTGTAAGTAATTAGATTTAACGCATAGATTAAGTATGCTTTTCTATTGTTCTCTAGATGAATCTGAAATATTTATTTAGTCGTTTCATCCTCTTCTCTACCGCCTTAGGTTTTCTTCACGCATTGGAATCTGACCTGCTTCTACTTTATTATTAATAAATCATTATCAGCTAGTAATTTTGTTACAGAAAGTATATATTTCATTTCTACACAGAAAAAAAAATTGGCTCTCCTCCAAATAACAGTCCCAAATGATCTACACAGAAAGTAATATCTAAAAATCGCATTTCTTTTGCGGCGAATCAACCGCGTCAAAAGTAGGATTAATTGCGCACAACATTTTCGCGAAACGCAACGGGCTTTTTTACAACAATTAAACGGCAGCAAAACTAGGATTAACTACGAACGAAAATTAGCAACACGCAAGAATACTCCCGATAGCGCTATCCTATGGCAGGGCCACAGTTATATGTAAGTTGCGAACCACTTTTCGCCGACTAAAGTGCCACCTCCGAGAGTATCTCGCGGGCCGCTACGCGCGGAAGGGAATAAACTAGATGGCTGGGACTCAAGAGCAGCAGCTACCGCTTCTCCTGCAGCTTCCTCCATTGTATTTGCTCGTGTGTCCTAGCCATCTAGTTTAGCCCCTTATGTGAGTCCCAGGCATCTTATTTAGACCCCTATCCGCATCGCGCATAGCGGCGCGGGGATACTGTCGGCGGTGAGTTTAACAGCATTTTGCGCATGTCGTAAAAGTGTGAGGACAACGACGCTAATCTGCGTCAGAGCGTGTGGTCTCCCCGCCATGTAGTTATTATCGCCTGTAATGTTGCGTTACTCGAAATTGTCTGTCAATGGCCGCTATTATTGCCTGCTAATAAAGCCTGCAGAAACTCTTAAAATTGTCAACGGTCGCTATTATCGTCTGCTACTATCGTCTGCAGTGTTACGTCTCTTGAAATTGTCAAGTATTCCTAGTTTTGCCGTGATTTGTTCCTTGGCAAAAAGTCCGCATTTTACACACGGCTGAGGCCCTGTTAGGCTATTTGCTTGGCCACCATAATAATAATTTCGGGTAGAAGTTCGGAGGAGAGCCCATTTGGCTATCTTCCAAATAACGGTCCCAAATTATCGAGGCAGAAAAAATACCTTAACAGGCCTCAGTCACGTGTCAATTGCGCACTTCTGGCGACTTAAATTGGGCACTTCCGGTGACTTCCACCAACGCCGAGAGTATCCCACAAACCGCTCACGCGGCGTGGATTGGAGCTAATCTAGATGACTGGGACTCATGAGCGGCTGCCTTCATTTTTATTTGCTAGTGAGTCCAGGGCATCTTGTTTAGACCCCTATCCGCATCGTGCGTAGTGGCGTGGGGGATACTCTCGGCGGTGGCAGAAGTCCCCGGAAGTTCGCAATTTGGCGGCGCCAGTATAGTCCCCAGAAATATGCAATTGACACGTGACTGAGGCCCCGTTAGGCGTATATTTTCTGCCTCGATAATTTGAGACCGTTATTCGGAAGATGGCCTCCTATTTTTTTTTTTTACTTCTCTATTCATTTTTTGGCTCTACTTTCAAATTTGGCCGGTAAGCTGGACTGCTTCAGCCGGCTTAGCGGGGCTTATGTCCCGTGGCCACACTCAAAACAACGAGCGGAAAAAGAAGTCACGAATCAAATCACAACAGCAAAATGGCAGTAAGACAGAGAGCTCCCACACACATAAGCAACAACATTCTTGCGACACACGACTTAGTTGCCACGGACGTAACTCCTGCAGATCTGCATGCATTAATGTCTGATAAGTATGCGTGGTTGCGGTGGCTAGCTGAGCATAGTCTTATAAGGAATATGCAACTGTGCAGCTCGTGCAACCAACGTATGTCGCTAGCGCCTCGCCAGCACTGTAACGACAGATACGGTTGGCATTGTCATCGCTGTGATACTCGGTGCAGCGTTCGCACGGGGTCCTTTTTCGCCAACAGCGACATGCCGACCAAGAAAATAGTCATGATGATGTACTACTGGCTCTACGGCGTAAGTTCAACGACTGTCATGGTCTTCGAGAGACTCACGTGCTAGCCCACCATTGTCAACTACAACAATTATTTCCGTCAGGAATGCTATAATTGGATGTTGAGACACACCGTGGAGCTGAGAGGACTCGATGAGACCGGCAGATCTATCGTGGTCGAAGTAGACGAGAGCTACTTCTTCCGACGAAAGTATCAGCGCGGTTGCATCCGTCACGGTCGTTGGATCGTCGGGCTAGTAGAGCGTGAGACTGGCCGTTGCTACTTAGAGCTTGTGCGAAAACGAGATGCGGCGACATTGGAGAGGATCATAAAAGATCACGTACTGCCGGGAACGACCATCGTGACTGACGCTTGGCGAGGCTACAGCAACGTCGCAAACTTAAGGCATGGCATCTATCTGCACGAGGTAGTAGTCCACCAGACCAACTTCGTCTACGTCGCGCACAGTCACATACACACACAAACAATCGAGGGCCTGTGGATGTTGGTGAAACGATCAATTCGCCAGCGACTGGGCACCAGCCGCCCGCTTTTGGCGTCATATTTGACAGTTTTAGTGGCGCCACTCCCACAAACGTCAGATTGTCGGCCACTATTTCGACCTCCTACGTGAAAATTTTCAAATCGAACCATACCCCTAAACCCTAACTCTAACCCTAAACCTACCCCTCATCTTACGCAAACAACCAACCTACACGCAATAAGCAGCCCTACACGATGATAGACACCCTGCGCAACCCTACACGCAACCGGATGATGATAGGTAAGTATGCCATTTGATTCGTGACTTTTTCCGCGACTTGTTTTGAGTGCGGCCACGGGACATAACTCCCACTAAGCCCCGCTAAGCCGGCCGAAGCAGTCCAGCTTACCGGCCAAATTTGAAAGTACAGCCCATTTTTTTTTTTTTTAACAAACTTTTTTCCCCACAAAAACGTTGACAGTTTGGCTTAGAATTGACATACATGCATGAATTAGGTACGCCAGCTGATTAAAACCCCAAAACTTAATAACATAATGAAATGATCATATGATGCATATCGCATATAATAATAAAAAATATCATATATATTTTCGTTATGTAAATCTGTTCCACACCTTTCATTTCTAACTTCTGTAATAAGTTCAACACATTTATTCTATCTAAAAAAGATAGCAAGAATTAAATAACATCTTCGGATCTCCGGACACAGACACGTACTACTACTACTACTACTACTATAACTACTACTGTTGGATTCCCTGATGTTATCATTCGCGACAGGAAAATTTACAAATTCGGAACTTAGCAGATTCACTTGCATTCGCAGCTTTAAACTTTTATACTGCAATTCTGTTTATAGCGTTGTCGCGGTGACAGTGGTCCGAGTTCAATCCCAAGCACAAACATAATTATTTTTCCTGACTAGAAAGTACTACTACGAATGTTCCAAACTATGGTCGAATAATTGGCATAAACATCATCATCAGGTGCCTTGCAGACTGACGTGGGCGATCATGCCTCTCCACAATCTGCGATCTCCTGCAGCATGTATCAATTCGTGTGCTGACACACCTCCATGCCATGAAACAAGAATCTTCTCTTTGTTTTCTTCTATCTCTCCTTCCACCGATCATTCCAGTGGTCACAACATATTGCATTTTCCCTCTTCTCATAGCATGTCTGTGATAAGTTGTCTTCGGGCTCAGGCCTTTTTGAAAAGATCTTGGTTGCTCTTTTTTGGCATACACATTAACACCAATTTTCTGGGACACAAAGACAACAAAGTAATGAGCAATTCTCCCTACATGAATGAATAAATTAATCAAGAACTGCCATGTCTGTACTCGGGACATTCCAACACATGCTGTCTCCTTCCTCAGTTGTCAACGAAGAGTCCATGTGCTAACAGTACTTACCAGCTGCAACCTAGTTAAAGGTTCCCTCAGTTCGTAGTCTTTTACGGCTCAGATTAGAGAAATAATTGTGAAGCAAAATTATGATGCTTTTGTATTGACTAGCCTGACTAAGAAAGTCGTGGACAGCACTAACATTGCTAAAAACACATACCTTTACCCGCGCATGTGTTTTCAGCGACTCAATAAATATGCTCAGGAAGGTCGATTTGGGCTGGGTTCGAAAACTATAGTTGGAGTCTTTGAAATGATCGGGGCTGGCAGGGCACGCAGGTGTGCAAGGTAGAAAGTGGAGGTATGGGCCTCGGTTTGAATAATGGGAAGACA